ATAAGGTGAGTCCTCTCCAGGTTTTGAAATTTTTCAATTTATAAAACCTAATTTATTCTTTGCTAATAAGGAAATTAACATAGATTTCCTCCAATCTGCATATCCAGTGCCATCGAACGGTGAGAATACAAGCAACACACCAGGATTATCCGAAGGGCTCAAGTAAAGAGGATGTGAACTCTCAACCACAATCTGCCTCGTGCCAAAAGGATTTTCTTCCTCCATTAATGGCAGAAATTAGCAGAAATTGAACAATTGTTAGAAGAAAAACGAAGTAAATCAGAAGAGAGAATGGATCGAAACAAATTGATTTCAATTTGCCAAGCAAAAACTTCAGAGAACTGTCTTCGAAGAATCTAGAAATGGATCAAGCAAGCTTGCTCTGATACCGTGTTGATTTTGGAGAGAATTGACTGAAAATATTTTTGTGAGAAAATGTAATCTCTTTCTCTGTATTCACAATCATGTTGTATAAGTATTTATATACAAGTGAAAGCAAAAAGTAAGTGGTCATGAGCTGTCATCCACTCAGCCCAACCTTCTTCCAACTAACTATGTATATGCACAACTATTATAATTAAATAAGAACCCTCTAGATGGCACGTGTGACCAACCCATGTGAAGTAGACAAATGAAAAACTAGGGCTTCTGGGTTTATTTCTCATCGTCTCTTTCTCTTAACACCTCTCTTTGCTTAGTGGAGGATTCTTCAGAAGTTGATGGAGATTCATCATCAACAACAATCGATTTGATTTAAATACAAGTGAAGTTTTTTTAGGTATATAAAATATATACACACACGTATCTGCATTTATATTAAATTTGAATTTATTGTTGTATAAAGATATAGTGAAATCTATTGGTCTTGCCTTGCCATTTACCTCCTTCATTTTATACGACACTATTCCTCTATTAAAATAAATGGCATATCAACAATAATAATATATCAGTATGATCCTACAAGCGAGGTGTAAGGAGGATGAGGTGTACGCAAACCTTACCTCTATCTTTGTGAGGTAAAGATGTTATTTTCGATAGACTCTCAACTCAAAAAAAATATTTTTTTTTAAAAAATAAGTTTGAAAATACAAGTGTAAAAAAATTATGTAAATACTGTAAAACAATAAAGTTAATCAAAGTAAAAATAAAATAAAAATATGTAGTCATAAAATTAATTAAAGATAAAGATAGCATAATAACAATAATACTGGCAAGGAGAAGATGAAGTAGCTAAGGTACTCTAAACTAGAACCATGTTCCTCCACATAAAGGAGAAGAATCGTTTGACTACTTAGCTACTAACCTTCTATCATAATCGCTTGTTAGCCTACTATATTCTAATCCCCGATCTCTACGCTCTCCTATATTATAAAATATGGAATATACCTAGCCATATTTGGAAACTCTTTTTAGTTTAATCTTTGGATTTTACCTCTAATAAGATATTCTTATAATCATCATGACACGTTCAAGACAAAGAGTTAATGGTATTTTTGGTACATAACAAAAAATAATTCATTCTTTCTTAAGCTCTATCTTGAGTCAACATGCCACATAAATTGAAAAGGAATGAGCATTAATAATCTAATTCACCTCCAAAGCTTGTAGGTTTTTAGGGTTCGTTCGATTACCAGGATTATGATACCAATTCGGTATTAAATTTGAAATTTTATTTATCTACTGTTTTGGTTATTTGTATTAGTTAATATCGAATAAATTTTATAATAAAATTTTGATATTATCTTATCATAGAAGAGGTGAAACTATATAATTGTGAGATTGTAATCCTAGGATAACCTTGTTTTGAGCCAGATAATGAAGCTCATGTTTGGTCATAGATTTTGACTACTTTATTTTTTGTTTAAAGAAAACACTGTTTATTTATGGAATATGGTCAGTTTTTGAAGAAAAAAAATTATTTTTTCAAAAACTGATTTAGGACAGTTTGGGTAAAAAAATTCTCCATTCACAAAAATTCAAGTTCTTTTTCAATAAAATGTATGTTTAAAAACAATTTTAATTTTCAAAAATTATTTTTTAAAATAACTTTAAGAACTATTTTTCAAGTTTCAACTAAATCTATATCTAAATAGTAGTGAAATTTCATGTTTATGAAAGGATGGTTTGAAATTGGGAAAAGTCGGAAATGAGTAGCGGACATTATATGACATGTTTGTTTCCTTTTTTCCTGTTCAAAGTACAGACCAAACAAATGAATGAATTAAGAGTGAATCAAAAAATCAAACTCCCATGTCGTGTCACTAAATATTGATTGGCTGTAAGAGCACACGTTTCAATAAAAGAGTGGCAGATCGTGGCTTCCTTTTCACCCTTCATTTTCCTTCCTTTTTTTAAACAGAAAATCTTTACCGAAGAATTAACCCAAATAACCGTCCACCCAACCGCTAAACTAAAAATAGCCTGATGAAAGTATAATATATGCATAATTTATATATTATATGTATATAATTGTGTAATCAATATATAAATCGATATATATGGCTAGAAAAAATAAACAATGAATATGACCGGCTATTTGTATAAATATTCCTTCTTTATCCTACTTATGGGTTTGTTGTTTTAAAACGAAATCTTTACACGATTAATCAGTCATATTTGTTATTTACTTTTTCTAGCTGATATACATTAATTATACATATATCGTACATAAATTATTCATATATTATATATTCATCGACTATTTTAAATTTAAGCGTTTGTATGAATGGATTAGTTCTTCTTTTAAAACTTCCCATTTAAAAGTTGCCTGTAGTTGTCTACTTGCCTTGACTTCCTTGTTTGGGTATGACAAAATCATATTTGGGCCCACTTTGAGCTTTCTGGGCAATTACCCCGCACATTTAAAGAATGAAATTTTTACCTACTATAACAAAGGTTAACATCTTATTTATTTTAAATAAATATTATTTTAAAAAATTATATTCTATAGATACCCTTTAATGTTTATAGCAAAATATCTAATTTTGGTTACCTCCTACTCCTAAGCCACTAAATACGCTATTTAGTTACACTATTTTCTTTCCCTCTCTACTTTGATACATGTCATTCTTTTCCCCATTCTCTGAACACACAATGCTCAATCTCAAAATTCCTCTCATCCACATTACCTACCATTAGTCACAAACAGATTTAGAATAGAAAATACAGCAACGGAGATATGCGTACGAAGAAGAAAACAGCGTCGGAAATGGCCGCTGGTGGCCGATGAAAGTGGATTGAGCAAGTGAACAATGAGAGGCTTTGAGAAGTACCCTAAGGCAAGCCGTTATGGATTGTTAGATGGAATTTTGAATAACTGTTTGCGTGAAACGACTGCGAGCATATGGATGTTTGAGATTCGGCCCAATTTTTGGGGCTTAATAATTGGCCAAATTTTAGGGTTTGTTCTTGAATAAAGACGACGGAGTTTGGAGCTGAGCAACTTGATTTTCTGTTCATATTTTTCATTGTAATTTAATGTATCTCGCTATATTCCATATATTTCATTGTATTCACTGTCTTTTTTTCATTGTATTTCAATGTATTCCACTGTATTCGTTGTATTTTATTGTATTCATTATCTCGCCATATGCCATGAATGTATTCATATATATTTTTTAATTAATATACTTTATGTATTCAGATATATTATATAATTTCTCTGAAGATTGCTATGTTTTTGGTTATTCATCGGTTGAGAATTTTTTTTATAACTGGAAATACAAATTTTGTGTGCTGTAATTGAGTTTGTTGAGTTATATTAGGAGTCTATTATGTTAATTGATTCACTTTCCGTTTAAAAACAGTGTAATCCCCTGTTTCACACTGTGAATACAGTCGAATACAGTTGAATACAATAATCTATCCAGCTGTAATCACATGTTTCACGCCATGAATACACTCGAATACAACAACTGATTAGTTGGACTTCCCTGATTCACACCTATATTTGCTACTGTATTCATGAATACAGTAGCTTAAATACATCTAATACATCTTATAACAACAGAAAACGTATCTACAATATGTAATATAGCAAATGGTATCTATAGATAGCTAATTACCACTAAAAGATAGTACTTTATGAAAATTTCTCTTGGAGAATTAACTCAAATAGCCGACCACCTAACCGCTTAAACTATAAATAGCCGGTGAACGTATAATAAATGCATAATTTATATATTACATGTATATAATTATGTATAATCAATGCATAATCTATATGACTAGAAAAAATAAATAGTGAATATGACTGGCTATTTGTGTAAAGATCCCTTTGTTTTCACCTAGAGCTTAGCATCTCCGTCACGTAGAAATAGCGTGCACTGTGGCAGAGCTGGAAATTTATCCAATGATATTCAAACTTAAAAGAAGTGAAAAAAATTCTCCAACAAAGGGTGCTTAATATATGTCATATACGTCTAAAATTTAATATTTTACCTATATACGTAGTGTAATTTTTCGATAAAGGGTGGTCATCACCGTTATGAAAATGTAGCTTCACCCATGTGCCACTGGCCACTTTTTGGTCATATCTTTAAACAAAAATAACCCATATCCTGGAGTTCCAAATTTCACAAGTAAAGTTCGACATTATTAAGGAGTTTCACATGTAGAATCGTTAAACTCTACATGATTATTAAATCTGACAATATTATATTATAGAGTTTCACGTGTAGAATCTCGAAACTCTCCGATGAAAAATGACTACCTATCTTTACAGGGGCTGAAAATTACAGTTTGTAAAATTTCCCCTTAGGATTCAGTGGAGAAATGGCATCAGGTAACTGCTTTTAAGGGATAGCCCGTTTCTAAAAAAATATTTAAAGTTCAGTCAATTTTTGGCAAACTATTGCTACTTCTTCAAATTCATCAAATTTGCACTTACAAGTGTAAGTTTAAATTATTTGGTCTTTGTTTATTAGATGCTTACAATTTATGAAATGCATGTTTAGTAGGAAAGCATGCAAACAGCATTCTCCTGAACACAACTCTCCTCAGTCCTCTCTTCACAAAGAATGCCCAACTCTGACTGTTGTATCAAATTCATAAATAAAAGTCACAGGAAAAAAAAACTGTACCTACAAATTTGTTAATTTCTCACTCACTACTGTTATACTACACGAAAACTAGCCATTAGTTGAAACGAGATCATCAAAAAATAGAGACATCTGCATCAAAAAATGATATACAAATGCACACATCAAAGAAAATATAGACACAAAATTTACCCTTTTCCTATTTCCGCTGATCCCTCGATACTGCTGCTCTTTATTGTTTGAATGCAGAATCTAGAAGTTGTTTCCAATAGACCCTCGGCTCAGGAAAACAAAAGCACCATATAGTAACAAATGCCAAGTTGCTACAAATTAGACATTAGGTGTGATGTTGTACTTCTCGCAGATTTTTTGTCCATTTTCATTCCACCACTTCTCTGCCTCTTCCTCAGTGAAGATTTTACGGCTGTAGGAAAGCACACAAAACTTCAGCAAATAAATCAAGATAATTCAAGTCGAAGAAAAGTTAAAAATTAAATTCCACCTATTTGATGTCGAATACTGTTTTTTCAAGAAACAATAGTTTATGGTAACAACTTTTGCAGGTATTTAGCTGAAATCACAGTTTTCTGTTCCTCTTGCTAAATGCTGACTTCCAGCAATTTGAAGCTATTGATCAGAGGTTTACGTGATCATGCCAAATAAAAAGGAGATACATGCATGCAAATGAACAATTTGTGATATCAGTTGGCATTGACGAAAACAGACTAGTTGTCAATTCAGGAAGCATAATGGGCAGCCTGGTGCATAAAGCATCCTGCGTTCACACATGGTCCAGGGAAGGGCCACACATGTATGCAGCCTACCCCCATGCAAGCATTAGTGATGGCTTCACGGCTCGAACCCGTGACCTATAGGTTACACAGAGGCAACTTGACCGTTGCTCCTCTTCAATTCAGGAAGCATAATATGTTGTTAAATAGGGCAGCACATATGATGAATACAAAAACATGAAAAGAGAAATTGCTAGCTAATTCTCCGACTCACAAGTCAAATATCACATATTATAAGCTCTTACTGAAGTTGTTCAATGGAAAGAGTAAACTGCTGAGTGGTTAGTTATTTTTATTTTTTACTCCCCAGAAAACGAAACAGGTTAAAAAGATAAGTACCTGAAACGAACTCGTTTCAGTTCATTGCCTCCATCTGGTAAGGAAAAAAGATACAGGTAGATGCCTGGTTCAACTTGTATCATTCGCTCAGCCTTCTGCTTTCTAGACTTGATACCCTTGGCTGAGACAGGAGTATTAGAACTACCACTGCAGTCGGTTACGGCTGCGGTGGTTACACAACTACCATTAGAAGGACGGCTACGGTCAAACGATGTTTGTTCAGCATTAAAATCTAAATTGCCGGTGGAGATCTGCTCTTCTGGAAGCCTCTCAGTGATCTCCTTCATCTGTAGAAAATTGGATTATCCATGCCATTAGATTACAGGACATCGATCTCAAAGGAATAAGCAGATATACAAGTATCAACTGAAAACATAGAGATGGGAAGAAGAAAAAAGCAACCAACTATAATATAGTTGACCAGCGATGAGACAATCGGTGAAGGGTGGTATCGAGGTAAACTAATTGGAATATGTGAAGCTGCTTTCACGCCACTTTCATCAAATTTAAGTAGTACGATCGCCAGAATATTCAGCCGTTCACTTCCCTTGGGAAGTAAAACAAAATAAAAGTGCTAGCCTAGTTGACAAACAGAGGCAAGTTGAACTTACAAAGTCAAAGAGAATTGTAATTTTGAGCGACAAGACTAGAGGACTTTCTTTTTTAGATGTAATTTCATCTTCTTGAAGTATGGAAACTACCTGCCCTCCATTTGTACTACTTGTTACTCATCAGGTAGTTAAGCTTATGAAGAAAGTGATTCATTTTATGCAGTGAGTATACGAAATGACTGGAAAATATGAGATAATAACTAAATAAACAAAAACACAGAAGACATACTCTGACCGCTTTCTGAGAATCTCAACTAGCTTGCCGATGCATAATGAGAACCTTATAGGTCATGCGCATGTAAGTGTGTACCATGTAAATTTATGTCATGGTAAAACAGCGATGAACAGAATATACTCTTGAATGAATAATGCGAGCGCTACAATATCCAAACTAATAGATTGAGTTCCCACAAGTTGGAACTAGCTTCAGTAACTGCTAATAGAAAATGAATGACTGCAACTGATGAGCAAATAGATTACAAAACATGCCAAGAACAGAACAAAATTTGATCTGGGCGTATGATAATATAAGGCTATTAAAACTAGATCGAACTCAAGAACGCTAAAATAGTTACAAGATCTTTAAGTACAACAACTATGCAGACATTGCAGATTAAACATTTGAATATAAAGATCATCTAACCTGGGCAGTCAGAGACTTGATTACTTGTTTTGCTGCTTTTCTTTTCTCTGCTTCAATAGCTGCTTTTGCAGTAGCATCCTTCAACTGCTTTGTCTTTCTCTCAAGTTCAACTTCAAGAAGTTGAGATTTGGTTGCAAGATCTTCCAACTACAAACATTTTTGAGTCAATCTCATCAGTTTGGAACTTTGTTATCACGTTACTTAATTGCTCGCAGAGGTATGCATCAAGAATATTTAAACAATTGTGTATATTAGGATCAACTAAGAAGATGCATTATCAGTTAGGATCAATTAGAAAGATTCTATGACTGTAATTATGCATTCTTTCCTATTTTGTCAAACACTAATTAAGCCATGGTTTATTGAGAGAATAAATCAAGCCGAACATTAGTCTGATTCTCTTCTCTACTTCTTATTTCACATGGTATTACTATTAGAGCCAGGGTACAAAATCATTTCCCTGAAAAATTGGTATCCAGATCTCCAGTTCAACCATCAAAACGAAAAAAGGCCAGAAGAGGAAATTTTCCAAAGAATAGATACACAGAAGCTTTCGACGAACAAGGACTTAATTTTGTCTGTTGCAAGTGATCTCTAGGCTGCACTGCCGCGTCAAACCCAGCCTCAAACAATCGGACTGGAAAATCCCATCGAACAAAAGAGGATGTGTACACCCTCCACTTCTAGTAAGCATGGCACTTTAACTATAAGCGGAATAACAGTCATTCAAGCTATTGCTCTTTCTCTTATCAGAAGAAAGAGAGCATTGAAAACAGAAAAGAGAGTGCGCTCTCGAGCCAAGAATAAGTGTCAAAGACAATATGCACAAACAAGCCTATTCAATGAGTATAACATTTTAGCTTTACTAGGGTGGACTGGAAATTAAGCCAACATTGATGAACTTGTCTCATTGGTAATCTAGTTGACAACGACTCCACTTAGTTTGCTGGGCCTTTCACATCATACTGACCTATCGCTACCCTTTGAATCTCAATGGTTTAGTTTATCAGTGACTCCTCACTTGGACATTCAGGTACTTTTTCTTCTTGTTTCAAAATTAGATTTTCCGATGATCTTTTGGTCTCAGATACCTCTAGTCAAACCCCTCTATTACGTCATTGAATTTTTTTTTTTTTTTTTTTTTTTTTTTTTTTTTACAGGAGACATGCAGAGTTGTTAGGTATTCTGATGCAAACTTGAATGATCTCCTTCATATAGATGTTCCACCTTAGGGTGTTGTATCTTAATCGTCAGCGACCTAGTATCTTGGAAACTTAAGAAGCTTGGTTTCATAGAAAATTGGAGGAAATGAACCAATGAAACGGATTAGTGAGAGTAAAACCGCATTACAAATTGTTTCAAATTCTGTGGTTCATGAAATACTAAAGCACATAGATTTTAGTTGTTACTTTATCGGGCAAAAAATTTGAATTTAATGTATAACTACCAGTTTTGTTAATACAAGTGACTAGTTAGCAGATATCCTCGCAAAATCACTTCGAAACTTCAGGATCGAATACATTAACAACAAGTTTGGAGCACACAATATTTAAGGCCAAATTTAAAAGGATACGTTAAGAATGTTTTGTTAAATAAACAATAGTTAAGAAGAGTATTGATATATCAGTTAGGATCATTTAGGCAGATTTATTATCAGGATCAATCAGAGAGATTCGAGGACTGTTATTAATCCTTCTATCTTATTTCAGAACATGTTTAAACACTATTTAAATTCCAATAGCATGAGGGATCGAGGTGAACATTCCTCAAATTTGTTTCTCCTCTACTTCACCTACAGTTTGCAACCACATATTCAACTGGATGAATTATTCATACAGCATAGTCACTGAACTTCCCACCTAGTCCCATGTCCAAAACTAATCGATGTAAGTTTCCATCTTGATCGAGCTTTATCTTATTAAATAAAGCTGCAAAGCTACTGATCATCCACCTATGTAATTAGATATATGAAAATAGTTTGTTTGCTAGTTTTAAGATGCTAGTATTAGTTGCACGTCAAACCAAAAAGCAGATGGCTGCACATACAAGACTCAAATTATTTTTCAGAGGTAAGACAACTTCATTCTTAAGTAATCGATGGATAAAGTGTAGAATGGTTTTCTCCTATCTTTTTCTCCTCATATCTTCTTCTTGTCAATATGTCTACACGGAGGTTCATGATGTGTAGGTTTATAGGCTGTCCAATATTCCGTTGAAGGTAACCCCGAAATGAGAAACATCATTAGCCCATTTTCATGCATAAAATCAACAAATAGTTTTTTGAAGTCTAGTTATCTCAATAACACAACTTGGATAACTGGAAACCGACATAACGGATGGTTATCTAGGGAGGGAAGAGATTTTGGGAGGCATATTAAAAACAGACCTTTCTTTCGTAAGAAGAGCTGAATTCAAATAAAATATTAATCATTTAAGCTTATAAAGAGTATCAATCATTTCAGGAACCTAATCCCGTAGCACCTAAAATCAACACAATGTGTATAGATATAAAAATCATATTGCGTCTATCTATCGCACCGTATGCATGCACATCGAAGGAGCAATTTGAAATGTGAACATCTCATACTCTATTGAACTGCTCAAATGACAGTTCTATTGGATATTTGTAATTTGAATCTTCCGTAGAAGCATATAAGTTAGAAGTTGTTGCATGAATTTAGCATCATTATGACGCTCTTAAATGTTTTAGAACAAACTGAAAGTTAGTAACAGAGTATTTGTTTTTAACTTCGCATTAGCACCTCATGAACTCAATAATAGGCAAAAACATTTACCGGTGGAGTGCTTATCAAAACACAGATTTATTACTAGCAAGAAGCCATAAAGAGATATAGAGTTGAAAGAAAGCAAGCATTAGGATTTAGCATGAAGAGAATGGAAAATTGTTCCACCGCATAGAAATAGCTCACCTGTGCCTTTAATTGTTTGACCTCCTGGCTTAAGCTCTCATTAATAGGCTTCAAATTATCTATAACTACTTCAGCTGTACGAACAGGACGATACGGAGTTGGCATTGCAGGCCACGATGGACTTGTCTTTCCTGGCGAAGGAGATGTCGACTGAGAAACCACTCTCGCACTCGGAAGAGAAGCCGATAAGAGACCTTTTGGAACTCGAAATGGACTGATTGGTGATTTAGGTAAGGAAAAGCTTTCCCTCTGAGCATTTTCACTTTGAAAAGATAATGCAGGGTTCTCATTTTGATCAACCCTGGAAATTCTTCCCTGAATGCGGTTGAATGAGTCAGAAGACGAGAGTCTGGAAGTTTGGCCTACAAATAGAGGAAGCCCGCTCTCTTTATCTGTCTGCTCATAAGCCTTATAATTTCCAGTTTTGACTTTTGGAACTCGATACGTAGATTCTGATTCAACTGTTTTCTGTAACTTGCCAAAACAATCATCACAGACACGATATGGCTTGTTTGTGCTTGGGGCTAATGATGCTTTAAGTGATTTTTTGCTGCTGCATGCTTTGCAAAAGACAAACCCACAATTGTAACAATTATGACGTTTTCTTCTGAAATTGAAAGGGATACGGCATCCAAAGCATACAGAATTATCAGCACTTAATGCCCAATTGTGTACACAAATAGCAGCAGTAAAATTTGAACCACACACTATTCTCTTTACTTGTTTATCCCTCAAAATAGCTACTAGAGTAGGCGTATACTTATTCTCGCAGTCCCCATGACCAAGTTGTCCATTTTCACCCTTTCCCCACGTATAAACTTCTGTTTTGGAAGTCAAAACTGCAACATGGTGTGAACCACAAGAAATTTCCTCCACAGTACTGTCAGCGATATTACCTTCTACACGAATTGGTAACTTCCCATTAGCTAGAGGGCAACCGAGCTGGCCATAAACAGTACTACCCATTGTATATACTTGGCCCCCAGTTGTCAATGCAACGGTCATGGTATAGCCACAGGCTACTTGACTGAAGTTTATGTCAACCAATGCAGCTATGCACTCAGGAGCTAGCTTCGGTTCATCGCCATCATGTCCTAGTCGCCCTTTGTCTCCGTCCCCCCAGGTGAATAGCGTTCCGAACGGACCATCGGATGGTCCAGAATCCAATCCACTCATTAGTTCAACTATAGCAGCAGTATGCCAAACACCACAGGCAACCTTGAGTGTCCTCAGTCCTTTAAAACTTTCGACCTCTCTAGGAGTAATATATACGGAACGATCCCCATGACCCAATGCACCAAAAGTTCCATCTCCAAATGTAAACAAGCGGCCGGCAGTTGTTATGAGAGCTGTATGCCAAGGCCCACAGGAGATATGAGACACTCTTAAACCTTCCATGAGCCCACATACTCTCTTTGGGATCCAGTGACTGGCTTCACTTCTGTGTCCAAGCAAGCCCGAACTTTTAGCGCCGTCACCCCAAGTGTATAGATCCCCAGAGGATGTAACAGCACACGAGTGATATTCCCCACATGCAATTACCTCAACATTCATTCCTCTGAGATTGTTGATGAGCTTGGGATGTGAAACGTCTGTTTCAGCCCCATGCCCCAGCCTGCCGCCTCCTTCTTCACCCCAGCTGAATACCTCTCCTTGTTTTGTGACTAACATAGCATGCTTAGTACCACAGGCAATACTCTGAACATCAAGTACCACAGTTGACTCTAGTGCCTTGGGAGTATAAGCATTAATCCTTGTACCAGATGATCTGCCAATTCTGTGCTTACCGCCGCCCAATAGCCCATTGCCAGTACCTTCTCCCCAAATGAAGACATCTCCTAGGTTATCAAAATCTTCAAGGCAAGAACCCTGGCTGGATGAACTTATGGCACTAGATAAACTAACTCGGAATGTATCGGCCGTAGAACTTCGAGCATTTGAGTTGTCAACTGTTCCAGAAGACAACGAGCTAAGATTAAAGGCAACTGTTTCAGCAAGTGTAGGACTCTTGGAAGCTGCAGTGTATGAAATAATGTCAGCATAGGCTTTTCCGAGCCTGCTCTGAGGTAGATTCTCAGTTCTTTGATTGTCTCCTTGATCCTGAGGCAAAAAGATGGTGATACAGCATTGTTGAATCAGTTGGAGGAGGGAAGGAGTGAGAGGAGAGAAAGAATGAAAACGCACAACTAAAGAAAGTGCAACAAAATGCTAACATACAATAGATGAAGTTGATGTGGTGACTTGTTCACCAAACGGACTATCAGGAAACACGGGTTCACTTCTTGCATCATTTCTTCCTTTGCGAGAGCGTCCCCGTGTAATTATTGCCTTCAGCCCAGCAATCCAAACCTCAGCTTCATCCTTGTCTTTACAGATCTACACAGAATTATCATTAGAGTTGTATAATTTTTTTAAGACTAAGTTGTAGAAATCAAAATGCTCATTTTTCACGACAGGGAAGAATATTTGTTTTCATTGAGGAGACAAATCAGAAACCTACCAAGTCCAAAGATCTGTCATTACAGATGAGAGAAAATGATTGATACTCCTTTTCAGGCCGAGGATACCGCTGGAATATTGCCTAAGGAGGAGAAAAATTAACACTGTTTTGGTCAACCACTTGAACTAAAGCTCCAGAGCAAGAAGGAATATATAATCACACAGAATAAGGATCAAAATTTGACAAGAAGTAAGAAGAGCAAAGTCCTACTGAACTCTAAGTGTACAATTTTTACAATTCAATCATAGAGCACAATCAAACACTTGATGCAGAAACTACTTGTACTGATTAATGATCAGAAAATTTAATCCACCTTCTCTTACAGAGTAAAACCAGAAAATCTCCCGTTCAAAGCACTCCTAAAGTATTGTCCATCGTCTCCTTTAAGTCTTTGATTCTTATTTTGTTCCTCCATTATCCTATCCCAGTTTGGTTCCACTCCACCACCCAATCACCCTTAAAGAAAAAGATGAAAAGAAAAGAGGAACAATAGACATTGCCATTTCGGCAAGTTAACAAAACTACAGTCCTACTGTCTCTCCTTGGAAGCACTCACAGAAGGAAAATTGAGGAAGAAAATTTCTTTAATTAGGGGAAAAGCTGGGAATAGTCAAACTCACAGTTCTCTGTCCAGGAATAATCCTTGAAACATGACACAGTTCAAGCTGTTTTTCTTCTTTGCCGTGGTACCATACCAACGCAGATTCGTCCTGATACATACCCAAGAAAGCCCTTAGTGATACGGTATAAATACAACTTGTAAATCAAGTTTCCAACAAGTAAAAAAAAAACCAGTACTTATTGAAATGCATATTCAACATTTTTTTGATAATCAAAATATCCCCGAGGACAGCTTGTGAACAATTCAGAACTCGGTGGTTCTTAACTTTGTGCATGATACTCTGTTGCAAATTATAAGGGATCCTGAACGTCAAACAGTTTCTATCTTTTGACAAAATGTTCATATAAGAATGAATACCAGCAAAGACATAATGCCGTGGTTCTTAACTTTTCTAGTATCATACAAACGTCATAATCACTTCCAATGAGACCACTAATTTTAATGTGTCCTTCTGCAGACTGAAGATGTTAAGAACTTAAATGCATAGATACTGTATTATGTCCTCCAGCATGCATTTTAGCCTCATGACCCACAAAGGAAATAATAATATTGAAAATGAGATAACTAAAGAACTCACATTCGATAGACGAAAAGGACAGAACTTGGGTTTTCCTCTGCGCCCATATTTCAGCAGATTTACTCCTTTCTTAAGCGCTGCAATGGCCTTCACATGAAACAAAGGCAAAAAGAAAAGATAACAAGCAGAAAACAGTTAAACTTAATATCTACATGCAGGGCGATAAATACATTTATTTTGCATTCCCTAAATCTAGAACCTCCTAATTACTTGCAGAGGCGGATGGAGCCTATATACTATGGGTTTAACTAAACCCAATATTTCGACACAAAACATACATAAGTATATCTATATATAACAGCCCGGTGCACTAAGCTCCCGCTATGCGTGGAGTCCGGGGAAGGGACGGACCAAAAGGATCGATTGTACGCAGTCTTGCCCTGCATTTCTGCAAAAGGCTATTTCCACGGCTCGAACCCGTGACCTCGTGGTCACATGGCAACAGCTTCACCAGTTACGCCAAGGCTCCCCTTTTATATATATATATATATATAGGGCGTGCGCACGCTTGTGTGAAAAAACACTAAAATTTCAACATATATTAAAAGCCGAACTCATATTATCAAAAGTATAATGAGAATAGTGCTAATAACTTTAAAGGCTAAATTTATCAAGTTTAAATCCTGGACCCGTCTCTTATTACTCTATAGTAGTTTTGCGAATAAAACAAAAAGGAAGCAAAATAAGTACCTGATCAATGTCCCTATCAGCAAGACTAGACCTCTGGAAATCAGCCATTCAAGTGGTAATACTATTAGGTGAAAAACCCCAGCACCCATCTGAACAACCACAGGGAAAACTCCTTCCCCTACTAGTATACCCCATATACTAATCCCCTCAGCTACATTAAATACAACACCCAATTCCTTCATTTATCCCATTGTATGTACACGTCATAAAATTCTCAATAAAACATTCCCTTTGTCCAAATAGCAATCAACATTCAACTCCTCCAGCAGCTGAAAGCAGAAAGTCACCATTTATGAAAGTGTTGTATAAATTCAAGAAATGAAATTAAACAGGATAATTTAATTCTATAACCAAAAGGGTCATGTTTTACCTTCTTTTCTTGAAATTTTTGAGACAATTGAGCCGTTGATATTTATCTGATGAGCCAAAAAACAAGTCTTTTGGGAGCTCAAGCGAATAGCCAAAAATTGGAAACAAACATGCAAACAATATGAATGTATTTTTGAGTATGAAGATTGAAAAGAATGCGTTCTTGCTTTAATTTCAATCTTGAAAAAAGGGTTTTTTCAGAAACCCAAATTATAGTAAAAGTAATAATACAACATTTTTTAAGGAGAAGAATTCTTTCGTGCGTCCCTTAATGTTCTTTTTGGTGTTGTTTGTATCAATGATCTCTGTTTTTTTTTTCCTTTGTTTTTATTTATTTGTTTATTGTTCCTGTTATCTGGTTAAGTTCAATACATGTCAGCAACCTGACAAAGTACCAACCTCGGATTTGATGATTGAGATGTTTTTGTTTTGTCTTTTTGACGAATAAGGCCAAAAAGTATATGTATTTGTATCCGAGACCCTATTAGTCCAACAAAAAAGAGGTTTCTAATAAAGTAATTCACTTTAAATTAAAAATATATTCCTGTTTCAAACCATCTTTACTTCTTCGTCAAAAAGAAAAAGATATTGAAGTTTGAAAGTCCTTTTTGTTTCTTTTGAAAAAAAATGTGTTTTTTTTTCTAGACTTTTATTTCTCAAATTTTATCGTTTAAAAAGGGTAAATGGAATTTTGTTTTTGTTTTCTAGAAATAAATTCCATTCAAAAATGTACTCCTTCTAATAAGTTCGTCTTAACCTTATGTTTGGATGTTCTTTTTTACTATTATACTAATGTTTAACCGCAATAAAAGCTGGTTATTTTCCATATATATATTTTATAAAATTTAATGCTTTTATCAAATATTGGAAGAGGATGGGAGAAGTATTGTCGGAATATGTGATAAAGGATACTTATCAAAGTGAAAAATAAGTTATATAAAAACATTTATAAGACTAACATTGTTGTGAAGGTGAAAGTTGGGTCATAAAATGAAAGAATGAAAGAGCTGATGATGCAGAAAAATTTTCTCTTGTTTTGTATATTCACTACTGTAGCTTCTATATATATCTATAGCCTATAGATACATAGAATGTACATATAATATTCCTAGACAAAAACATTTTTTACTATATGAGTCCATACTCACTTTAGTGCATCAGCACTAATACAAATGTGAGCATGTGCTCACTCATGTGTATGGCACTAATAAATGAATGACCCAGATGTGTTTATGTCTTCTAATCCAACGGTCAATATTAGATCTCCTGATTTGAATATCAAGGGCTATTATGCTGCCACTTCATGCTCCACTTTGATTGAATCATCTGCCTGAAGCAAATGTAACACTGCTGTCTTCTTCTTCTTTGCTTCTTCTGCTACAGTGGTATCATGGGGGTTCTGTTCTTCAACATCCCCCCTCAAGGTGGAGGGGAGAGAATGGACCTCCAGCTTGGATAAAATACTCCGATGAGAACCCCCAGATAAGGGTTTGGTAAATAGATCGGCGAGCTGAGATTCCGACGGAACAAAAGAGAGAGAGAGATCAAACCGGACAGAAATTGTTGACGAACAAAGTGACAATCCAACTCCACATGTTTGGTTCGTTCATGAAAAACTGGGTTACGAGCTATGTGAATGGCGGCTTGGCTATCCGAGTGAACAGGCACTGGTAAAGTGGGTGGTGCTGATAGATCGACAAGCAAGCGGACTAACCAAGTGATTTCTGCGGTCACCCTTCTCATAGACCTGTATTCCGCTTCTGCGGAGGACATAGAGATGGAGATTTGTTTCTTCGATTTCCAAGAGATTGGAGCTCCACCAAGGGTGATGAAGAAGCCACTAACAGACCAGCGAGAATCTCTACAAGCCGCCCAGTCTGCATCACAAAAGGCGAGTAGATCAAAAGAGGGATCTGCAGTGAGAAAAATCCCTTGAGAAGGATCAGTGCGCAAATAGCGGAGAACACGCAAAACTGCAGAATAATGAGACATGCAAGGACGTTGCATATACTGGCTCAAACAAAGAACAGCGAAACAGAGGTCCGGCCTAGTATTTGTTAAGTAGTTGAGCTTTCCAACAAGGTGGCGATAAATGGTAGGATCAGGCATAAGCTCTCCCATATCAGCTTGCAATTTAGAGTAAGGATCAAGAGGTGAAGATACAGCAGGACCTGTGCAGTTAAATTCAGCCAAAAGTTCCAAGGTAAATTGCCTTTGCCCTATTATAAAACCATGCTTTTCTCTGAGAATTTCCATACCCAAGAAATGATGAATGTGACCAAGATGTTTTACTTTGAATTCTGAGTGTAGAAAAGCTGTAAGTTGTGCAATTTCTGTGGTGTCATTACCTGTGAGTAGTATATNATCATTACCTGTGAGTAGTATATCGTCCATATATACAACTAATATGGAAATTAAATCACCTGATTGCTTGAAAAACAACGAATAGTCATTTAGAGAGCTGGAGTAACCTTTGTAGTTTAGAGCCCCAGCTAACCTAGCATACCATTGCCTCGACGCTTGCTTTAAACCATAGAGTGACTTCCTTAGTCGACAGACAAGATTAGATTGAGAAAGAGTCAAACCTGCTGGGAATTTCATATAGACCTCTTCTTGCAAATCCCCATGCAAGAAGGCATTATTAACATCGAGTTGTGACACATTCCACCCCTTCTTGATAGCCACANCCCATTTACATGGTAAAGCTTTCTTACCTGGTGGTAAGGATACAACATCCCAAGTGTTATTTATCTCAAGTGCTGAAATTTCAGCATCCATAGCCTTTTTCCACCCAGGATGGATAAAAGCTTGTAGATAACTGCTAGGTTCTGATGTGGTAGAAATAGATTGAAGGAGATGCTGGTTGTCTATAGAAAGAGCATGGAAGGAAAAG